GAAGCGCGCGCCTGTTATGTTCTAGTATTATATAAAATAAGCATACTTTTATATTTTGTAACATCCATTAAATAATAATACATGATTACTTTCTAATTATAGGATTTTGTAAATTTATTAGACCTGCTACGATAGTTACAACACTATCAATATAAGACATTGTGTTCCAGTCGAGACAAGAATGAGGCTCTAATATTTTATATTCACGAACTCTTCTAATCACTCTTTCGATGTGAATTCTTAAACTTGCTATGCTTTTGGTTTTTAATACTTCTTGTCTTGTAGGTTTTGTAGAAGTAGAGATAGACGGTGGACGAAGCAGCTCACACTTATTCTGATTTAAAATTGTCTGTATTTGTTTGAACCCTCTGTCAGCCATAATTCCGCATTTTTCTGGTAAAATATGCATTATTTTACTTTCTTGAAATAATAAAGTGTCACTGATCCTGCCTCCATATCCAGAAGATATAAAAATAATAAATCCATCAGGAGCGCAAGCTATTAAATATTTTAAAGTGTTACATTTCTTATATTCTGACCAAATCAAAGCTTGTTGCACTGAATCAGATGGTTTTTCAATTTCAATTTCAAAAGCATCTATAATAGCACATACATGGCTGTAGTATGCACGAAATGCCACTGGCAAATTCTTTTTTATGCTACTTGGATCTGGACAGTACACAAGAGTTTTCAAATAATACGCTAAGGGTTTCACTGTTTCATTAAATACTTTACTAGCTTGCGATGTTGATAAACCAAACTGATCTCCTAATCGACTAAATGTATCATTTATCCTTATTTTCATCAGAGTTAATTGGATGTCATTAATATTGCATTTAGTTGAAGAATGTAATAAATCAATAATCCACAACCATTCGTTGTCAATTCCAATATATTTTTTTGCATTCATACTAATGAAGTATCTCGTTATATTTAAAGCAGCTGCTTTCATTTCTTTTTATTTTCTGTTTCTTCCTCACTACTTGATGAGTGTTCATATTCATTGGAAGAAGGTAAATATTGATATTCATTTGAACTTATTATTGAACAAGATACTGAACTAGAAGTAGAATTTACTGCCTCTGATGTTTTAAATAATGATTTTATCGGTGAACACATTTTATTGACTTGTATTTGGCATTGGCAAGATGCATCAGTCATACAAGGCGTGCACATGACAGATTTACTTCGAACATGAGGCTTTACTAATTTTGTATATACTTGCACTCCAAAACTTCGTTGAGAAATATTTGTAGTGTTCTTAGAAACTGGAGATTCGCCAAAGCTTAATAGCTTTTGTTTACTTTTTGGTTTAGTAAAAGAGTGTATGTGCAATGAAGTTCTAGGTGAAATGTTTGATGATTCATTGCCAACTGATGTATTTCCTGATGTAATTTCTATTTTACTACTTGAAGGTATACGAGGTGTGATCAAAAAGTA